CGGTAGCTGCTGAGAATACTCTGCGCCAACAATCAGGGGGATTATTTCGTCACTTAAATCTTTCATTCTCCTCCCTCCTCCCACAAGGGAAGGAAAGTGTAATAACGCACAAAGCTGATTGAGTTACAAACCAGTCACTATTTTGGTCTCCAATTACAAGATTTTTATGGAGGGTGGCTCTGTACATACACGTTTACATATTTTATAAAAGTATGTAATGCATTCTGTAAATAACACTGTTTATATGAAGACCAACTATTTTGTATGGTCTGAGTGAGAGCTGGAGAATTCTAAAACTCGAAGAAAGCTTGCTGCTATTCTAGTCCAGCTGTCTCACTTAGCGAACGGGAAATCTAAGTCCACACACGGGCACACACAATCCCACTCCCACTTCTCAGTTTGAGGCACAGCAACACTCAGTTCTCACAGCTGAGATGACCACTGGCCAGTACTACTGGAGACGAGACTCAGTGCTCTTTGACACCTTTTTCAGACCTGAAACTTCTGCAATGTTTTTAAAGAATATGTGGGAAAGGCCCAGTGCTTTCTTTCTCTAACATTCCCAGTAGGTTACAGAACTGTCCGTCCACTCTGTCAAGGGCACTTTGTAACTTGTTGGTAAGAACTGGGAACAAAGCCAGGCTTGTACATTCCCTCCTTTAGACTCTTTCCACTCCATTTATTACTTACTTCTGAAATTTTATTGCCATTTATCACAAACTAAATTGCCTTTACTATATACATGTAGAGGATTAAGTCATAACTTTTACCTTGTCTTTGTTGATCTAATATGCTCATATCTGTGAACACATGAATTATGTACTTAAGTAATTTGATCCTAAGATAGGGAGAAAATGAAGGTAGGAATAGACCTCTGGTTTCCTGACTCTTCCTTAGCCACATTAACCCTCGTACTTCTATTGACTGTACTGAAATTTTATAGCTCATATCAGCAATTAACTTTGTGTGGCTTACTTAGCACACAGCATCAGCGATAAGATAGTTTTCTTTACTTTGTCTGAGTTTACTGAGGGCTATTATGTTGAATACATTGAGTATGTGAGCTTAAACATGCTCGATAATGTTAGTGAGAACTATTGCTCACAACACAAATTCTCTTAGCTGTGTTCTATTTGCGGACTTTAAATATTTAGAAATATTTCTGCACCGTTACAGTTTTTTAAAAAATGGTGGATAATTTTTAATGAAAAACCATTTTAAAGTTTTTCCATATAAAAAATGCTCTTATTAGCTATCTAATATTTTTGTTTCTTGGCTTGGACAAAACTGTATTTTCCAAATAAGTGGAGTAAAGACCTGCTTTAGTGTATCTATGTGCATTTATTTAGCAAGCTTTTTTCATTTGTGTTTTTCATTGCTATTTAGTCTTTTAAAATAGACTCTCATGTAGTTTCAGCTGGCCTTGAATGCCTGGTCCTTCTTGAGTGAGAAGGACCTGAGATTACAGGTCTGTGATGTCATGCCTGGCTGTCCCATCACTTTATTCTCATTTGTCACAGTTTTGTATAGCTCATCTATGTCCAGTTATTGAATATACATTATTCCTAGATTCTCTATAGATATTAAAACCTAGCACATTCTCAACCTGCCTCATTGTTTTGATAGCCCAGTGCTTACCTATCAGGAACTGTTTAATTCCTGACACCTTTCTTTCCACTTAAGTGTTAGCACAAGAGCAACATGAGCCTTCTTGGTGCTGGGTCCTACCATCCAGTGGCTTCAGCAGTAGGGGCTGTAGACTGTTCTTTAGAGATCCAGTTTTCAATGGGGATGTAATGGAGGGCACAGAAAGCAGGTGTGCCTGTAGACTAGTCAGCACAACTAGGCACTAGTGAATCAGGAGTCAGCACAGTCCATCCTTGCTGAAGTTCCTGCTGTTCTTTTCCATAGGAGAGATCAGGAGGGACTATACACGATCTTGGAGATGGTGCTGCATGTGCATAGAGCTTCAAGAGCTGGGGTAGCCACATTCCACCTACAGAGTGAGCCAGCCTCCTTGTGCCGCACAGAGAGTGATGAAGATGGCCATACAGGACAGGAGGGAGTCTGTGCCACCCAGAGCAATGGTAGGCAGGTTGATATGGTGCTGGGAGAGGCTGGTGGTCATTTCTGGGGTCGGTCATCATTGACTTCCTAGATCTGGTTAGTGAGTTTCTGTCAGATAGTGGCCAATAGGAGTGTCAGAGGCAAAAGTTAGTACATCAAGGATTCCTATAGAACATGGCGCTGACTCCAGTAGGGCTTTTGGTGGAAACAAAAGCTTTGCTAGGATCCTTTTCAGAGTTAGAATGTAGACAGATTTACCTGTTTTGTTGCCATCTGGAATCAAAGTTGAGCACCACCCGCCTGTGTCACTGTTCTCAACCTGTAAGAAGCCACTAGGGAGGGAGGAAGAGTATATTCTGGCTCATGATGTGAAGATGCAATCTGTCATGACAGGGAAGGCACAATGAAAGAGCATGAGACCACACCCTCACATTTGGGTAGTTCAGTGGTTCTCAACCTGTTGGTTATGGGTGGTGCAGGACAATTCTATATTATGTCAATTATATTTTAAATAAATGCTGATTGGCAGGTAGCCAGGCAGGAAGTATAGGCGGGAACACAAGACAGGAAGTAGAGGCGGGGAAATAAGAACAGGAGTATTCTGGGAAGAAGGAAGCTCTTCCTGCCGTCCTGCCCAGATCACGGAAGGGGATCTGTTAAGGGTTAAACAACAGCAACAAGAAAGCATGAGACTAAGAACCTCAAAGATGCCGTTGATCTTGTGTTGCCCATCTACTGCTAGGCATGGGGACTGTCCTTAGAGTGGTTTGCGTTCTCAGTGAGATCTGTTGGAGAGAACTAATTTTTCATTTGTAGGTGTTTATCAGTTGAAGACAGCTTCTGGGGTAAGGATGGGGGTTTGTGACTTCTCCTCTCAGTGCTGGACCCTATCTGGTGCATACCTGTCCAGGTCTGGGCATACTGCCACAGTCTCCATGTGTCCATCCTGCTATGTCTAGAAGGCCATGTTTCCTTGGTGTCCTCCATGACCTCCGGCTCTTACAATCTTCTCTTCCATGGGGTTCCCTAAGCCCTGAGGGAAGGGATTTGATGGAGACACCCCAGTTAGGAGACTGTGTGCACATCGTCTTGCTGTGTGGGTCTCTGTATTTGTTCCTGTCTACAGCAGGAGGAGTCCTCTCTGCTGACGGCTGAGCAGGTCACTGATCTATGAGTGCAGCACGGAGCATTAGGAGTCATTTTATTTTTGTTCCTTTAGCAGAACAGTAGGATTGGTTTTTTCCCCTAGGTCCCTAGCTTTTTGGTGTCTGGTTCTTGCCACCCAAGCAGAGTTTGGGATGGGTTCCATCTCACGGTGTGGGCCTTAAATCCAATCAGATATTGGTTGGTCATCCTACCTGGCACTCCTTTCTGCGATAGGCCTAAGTCTTAAGCAGGGAAAAACTCTTCACTGCCCAACTTACTTTCTGAGCCCCCTGGGTTTCAACCACACATTGATATTCAGCACCCAGAGCTGCTCCTTCCCTGGCTTCTCTGAGGAAACTTCTCCACACCACTTTCCTCTCAACTCCTGCTCCTGCAGTGTTCTCTTCTCTGGGCAGACTTAATTGCTCTCTTCTGTCTCCCTGGCTGCTGTGTGTGGACCTTTATTACTGTCATAACACACAGTACTGTTTGCTTTCTTCCTTACCTAAACAGACGGCCAGCCTTATAAACTAGCAAGGGCCTGTAGCCTAGCTTCTTAAAAAAAAAAAAAAAAACCCAAAAAAACCCCAAAAAAATTATCTATAAATTATTTTTGAAAAAAAAATTTTTCTTCATTTCAGTAAGTACCTTTATGTGTGCTAGTAAGATCAATGCTTTTACAACTAGGAGTGGAATTCCAAAAATTAGAAAATTAGAATAAGCCAACACATTGTGGTGAAGTCCAATAAGAGTGTAGTGTAGAGATTTTGGTAATAAATTTTTTTTCTCTTTTTTCTTTTCTTTCTATCTCTATGTAGCTCTGGCTGTCCTGGAACTCACTTTGTAGACCATGCTGGCCTCTAACTCACAGAGATCTGCCTGCTTCTACCTCCTGCATGCTGGGATTAAAGGTGTTAGTCACTTTTCTAGGTATGATTTTAAAATATCTTATTTGCTATTTAAAAATATATCTTGGTAACTATTAACTAACACCAAGTATCTTTTCAGAACAACAGGAGTGTTTTGGGAAATCTGTATGGCTCTTTCCCTGACACTGAGCTTTCAGGGATGAGCACCTGGCTGCATGGGAGAACACCTGCTCAGCAAGCACAACAAAGGCTCAGCGCAGGTGAATACACATGCCAACATCACGAAATTGAAGTCTTGAGATATTTAGATTATTTAGATTGAATATTCAAGATTTCATTTAAAAGTGCTAATATTTGATGTGAAGAACAAACTGAAACAGCATGTTTCTGTTTAATATGTGATAATATTTGATGGAGTTTTTGCTCTATTTCAGATTATTTCCTTCAGAAAGAACACCACACGTGGGATTATGTGTTCTGAGAGTTATGAGCCCTCTTAAAGATTGAATCACCACACCAAATTGTTTGCTGGAATTTGTCTCAGTTTACATTCCCACTCAACGTTTGAGAGTACCCTTTTTATCTTCCCAGTTTGAATACAATCTTTTACTTAAATATTTACTACTGTGGTAGCCTACCGAAATGCTACAACGGTGTAGATTTGTTACTGCAGAGCATAGGATAGGATCAAGGCTCTGGAGTCAAACATGCATTGCATTCGGGTTTAAGACTTGGCGCTGCCATTTCCCAGGACGGCTACATTGACAAACACCTCTTTAGAGGCTCCCCTTTACTCATTAGCTTATTTTAAAGTCAATAAGAGCTTTCACCCTGAGCCCATGTTGTTGTAATCATTAGACAAGGCAGTCATGTGAAAGCGCTTCACACCGTTCTGAACACGTGACCAAGGCTGACCGCTCCACTTTCAGCTGCAAAGTGCACCAGAGACTTTAGTTTGATTTGTGTACTATGTAGGGACTTGCAGACCATTTTTACTGTTCCTTGTCGCACCGTGGAAAGAGGGCCAGCAAATATTCCTCCGGTGGTCTCCAAGAACCTCAGGAACCTGTTTGCTTACAAAGCACGCACCTGCTTCCCATCCTTGAGGAATTTGCAATCTAAGGACTTCTGAGATTAACCTGGAATCTCTGGAGGCTTTTTAATTGTTTAGTGAGGTCTCTAAGGGCAATGGTGGTAACTCACTGAAGAGGAAGCTTGGTGAAGGTGTGTGCTGGGTTCCCGGAAAAGCTCCTTTCTCAGCAAAAGCCGGTAAGATGAATTATTTGTTCTATAAAAGTAAACTAGAGGTTTTTTTTTTTCTTTTGAAAGTTCGTCTACGAAAGTTACATTAAGTAAAGCATCTTAAATGGAATGCGGCAGAGTGGTAAGGTTGTGTCGTTGTTTGTACAGTCGTACCAAGTGTTACTCTAAATCCCAGCAGAACACACCCAGGGCTAGCAGCGCGGAGAGAACCCCACCAGAAGCAGTCCGCCGTTCTCTCTAGTCTAGCGAGGGCACTACAATGAGACTATGGTCAGAGGGCGAACTTTCTCCAGGTCTAGCATAATTTAGGTTTGGCTGGTCTTTGGGCCCTACTTCCAACTTTTTCTTTACCTACGCTTATCTGCCAAGGAGTATCCCTGATAAAAACAACAAAAAGACTGGATCATATAAAAGGGTCATGCCCACTGGCTTTTTGAGAGAACTTAAAACACTGCAAAATTGAAAGCACCCAGCTTTTCTATTTGGTTAAAATCTGCACAATATTAATGTTTTGTTGCAATTGCTGGGCCTAGATCCCCCTCCTAGCCTGGGATCCTGATGCTCAGCACCCAACTACACCCTGGAGCGGCTCCTAGGGTGCCCCCCCTCCTCCTGGGAACAGCTCCACCTCGGGGGCGCTGGAAACGCCCTCCGTGAGTTCCCTGGCACCAGCGGGAGTTTCAAGTTTCC